TCACGTTGTTGGTTGCGAGAAATCGGCAGAAGAACTAACCTGCAAATGAAGACTCGTACAGCGCTCTAGCTATAGTAAACATAGCTGCGGTTCCGTAGCTCTTTGGTGCGACCTACAATCAAATTTCGCCCTAACAACTTCACTTGGACGTCTTCTTTTTAATTTTGTTGATGTACGTCGAACCTATGGGCCGGGCTGAGTCAGTCACGTAAATAATGCGGTCGGCAACATAGGGCTATGATTCCACAGCTATAGTAAACAGTGAGTAAATAAATATTGTTTGAGTTAAATTAGAAATACGCTAATATCACTTGAACTACAGTAATCATTTCGCCCAACTTCCCACTTTTAATCGACCGCTTATCGCTTAATTTCCGACCGCACTGTATTTTCCCACCGGAAAACGACCGCATTTTTATCGTAATTTTTCTCTCACCGACTCATTGAAAACACCGACCGGTCGCCCAAACACTGGTCACTTGCACAGGAGTGATCGAAATAGTGGTTTGGAGTGATACAGTTTGGGGATACAACGGGTACTAACTATTATTAAATTCCGAACTACTCTTCAAATCTATACCGCATTGTGTCGTTCGCGGACGAAACTTCACCTGTGTCCAATATTAAATAACTGACTTTGCGTAATTATTATGAAAGCGATATATTACAATGTTGAAATTTTTAGAGCCGGTACAACCTTGTAAACAAATTTGCGTAATTAGAAAAGCAGCGCACTATGTAAACGACCTCAACTTGAAAATATACAAGTTTGCGTACAGCACCGTCAGAACTAATTATAATTTAACAAGATCGACGCGCGGAACAGGAAAGAAAAAGATTGCTAAGGTAACGCGCCTGTTCAGTGCGTGACTTGGGGGGTCAAACTTCGGTCAACACACACTTGATGTCAGCATCGCCGCGCAGTAAGTTACGCAATGAAGTTCAATTGCGTCCCAAAATGATGTCGTTGATCACTCAGTCTTTTGCAAAATATTATAACTAGTTTCCAAGCTTTTGATGCAGCCAGATTTACTTAACTTTGTGGCAATATATTTTTTTTTTAATTTCCCAGTCCTTTCTGTTCATTCATTGTCTTG